ATGAAATGGCAAACATTCCAGCGGTCACAGGGTTTGCTTTCTAAAAGATGGTGGCCAAAAGAACTTAAAAGTAGTTCCCACCTATTTGCAAAGTGAACAGTAAGGTGTGAACATCCAGTTGCTGTGGAAATGGAGCACACGTCTCCCATTTCCCCCACTAACCACAACTAAAACCCGGACATTCTTTTTTTTTTCTTTTTGGGTCATACCCAGCAATGCACAGGGGTTACTCCTGGTTCATGCACTCAGGAATTACTCCTGGCGATGCTCGGGGGACCATATGGGATGCTGGGAATTGAACCCAGGTTGGGCCGCATGCAAGGCAAACGCCCTACCTGCTGTGCTATCACTCCAGTCCCTAAAATCCTGACATTCTTTTTTTTTCCCTTTATTTTATTTTTTTTTTAAGTTGTAGATTTACAATTTTTTGTGCTTTGGTTTCAATCATACAATGATCAGATACCCATCCCTCCACCAGTGCCCATTTTCCACCACCATGGATAATATCCCTCCCACCCCCATCCCCCCATCCCCCCTGTCTCTGTGGCAGGGCAATCCCCTGTGTTCTCTCTCTCCGTTTGGGTGTTGTGGTCTGCAAAAGAGGCATTGAGTGGCAAACATGTTCAGTCCATAGTCTACTTTTGACATGCATCTCCCCTCCTGGGAGGATCCTCCAAACATCCTTTATTTGGTGCTCCCTTCTCTATCTGAACTGCCCTTTCCTCTAGGATACCCGGCTGGCCTCTAAGTTATGGAGTAATCCTCCTGGTGCTGATCTCAGCTATTCTTGGGTATTAATCTCATACTTTGTTACTTTATATCCCCCAGATGAATGCAATCTTTCTATGTCTATCCCTCTCTTTCTGACTCATTTCGCTTAGCATGATACTTTCCATATTGTACCACTTGTATGTAAATTTCATGACTTCATCTTTTCTAACAGCTACATAGTACTCCATTGTGTAGATGTACCAAAGTTTCTTTAACCAGTCATCTGTTCTTGGGCATTCAAAAATCCTGACATTCTTATATATAAAAAAGAAACAGGAAGGCTGAAAGTTGGAGTTAGGGCTAATAGGAACTTCAGAGCACAAAGACACAAAAGTGTCTTCGTATTTTTGGTTTCAGTTTCTTTTTCTTTCCTTTTTTTTTGTTGTCAGGTGGAGAGTACATGAAGTGGGTACTAAGAAGCTTTGATGAAAAAATGGCAATGAGTTATTGCCTGGGAACTTATTACCAGTAACTGTATTTTGCAGCCCTGAAATTTCAACTTGATTCTTCTGTCTCCTAGTTTTAGATGAATTTCTACTACTTTACTAAGATTTTTGAATTTTACATGTTTCATGTTCCTAACATGAAATGTTCCTAACATAAATTATCTGGCAGATGCCAGATAATTTATTTTCTATTGCTTATTATAAATATCATGAGAGGCTGTATGGTTGCAAAAGTGACCACATGCTTCTGGAATTCTAAAATTGTAAATGATTGGGGTCCAGAGTTATCTCTGTAGGGAGCTAGTCCATTTTGAGATTTGTTTGTGAGTCTTTGGATCAAGGCTGTTAATGATGGCGCCTGGAGGCAGTTTGTGGGCGTGAGAGCCTGGACCACAAGTGGCAGGGGATGGGCCTATCCCTGGTGCACCATGGGGCCTGGAGACTTAGTCCCTAATCTTGTGTACCTGGGTTTTTCTTCTGGAAGCCACTGGGATTTCATCCGTAGTGGGCGGAGCTGAGGCACCTGTTTCATCTGAGGCACCCTGACTCACTTTTTTGTTTGATGCCTTAAAATCTTTATCAAGACTTGCTTTTTCAAGCTACCACCCCCCTCACTCTCCTGCCTCACGGAGATGCTTTGGCTCTACAACTCAGGAATTACTCCTGGAGTTGCTAACAGGACCCTATGGGATGCCAAAGATGGAACTTGTGTCAACAGCGTGTAACGCAAGTGCCCTACCTGCTGTACTATGGCTCTGGCTAAATTCCTTTCAATAAAAACTATTTGTTTCACACACACAATCCTTGTTAATTCTAATTATCTTTCTCATCTTGGTGTTGGTGTTTGTTGATGTTTTTCTTTCAAGTTGGAATACTCATGCTTTATGGAATGATTAGTTATTTTTGTTGTCTTGAATTTTTAAAAAATAAAATCCTAGGGGCCGGAGCGATAGCACAGCGGGTAGGGCGTTTGCCTTGCACGCGGCCAACCTGGGTTCGATCTCTGGCATCCCATATGGTCCCCCAAGCACCACCAGGAGTAATTCCTGAGTGCAAAGCCAGGAGTAACCGCCGAGCATTGCTGGGTGTGACCCAAAAAGCAAAAACAAAAAAAAAAAAACCCAAAAAACCCAAAACTAGACAATATTGTGTAATGGAAAACTGAATTAGTGGTGCTCTTTCACCGCATGTGTTCAGTGGTCTCACGCCGCTTCCCACACCCGGGATAACTTATAGTAATGGGTGGGTGAAGGAGGAAACAAGAGCCACCAGGCTGGTTGGTGATCAGTTGCCGTTTATTCCATTCTCCCCACACACCTGTTCCAGTCTCACTACATACCCCATCCCAGTCTCACACTGCCCCTCATTCCCATCTCCTCCTGTCTCCCATGCTAGTCTCTGCGCTGTCTCTCTGCCTACGTCTTGCGCCCAACCTCCAAGCATTCCAGGTAGCATCTACACCTAGGTTGGGTAGCACAATCAGCACATGAAAGCCCTTCCTTCCCAGCAAAGCTCTTCTAAGACAAAGATCTCCTGCATCTAGGAGATCCCCTCAAGGACAAAACAGCATCTAAGGGGTGTGTTTCTCCTTTCCTTAGTCAATGACCATTTAAACATTCATCTTAATCCTACTTCTTAATATTAGTCATTTTGCATGGACACAATAAGAGACACATTAAGCTTGTAGTTTGGTTCTCCTGGGAACATCTCGCTATAGAACCCAGACTATAGTACTTAGGCCAGATTAGTCTTTCCTAACCCTAGCAGGGTCCTAATCCAGTTATTACTCTTTGGATCATGATAGAATTTGTCATTGACCTTGCTTTTAACTTAAATATTATGGCACTTGGCCTGTCCCATTTCTATGCCAGGGTAACTCATAGCTTGCCCTGGGTTCATCCAGTCCCTTGTCTGGAACCTGCCTTGGGGTACTAAGAACTAAGGGCAACTGAGGCTTAAGTCAGGTAAACAGATGCCCAGGAGTGAATATTAGAGTTAACTCCCAAGTTACAAAAGCATAGCATTAACTACCTTTCTGTTTCTATACAAAAAGGAACACTGCTCTAAAATAAACTATGCAGAAGGACATAGGGGAAGGAGAAAAGCAGTATTTCACTTACAAACACCAATCCAGAGATTTCTGAGTAATTTGACTTTACAAGTCACTGCTTGGGGAAAATGAGTGATTAAACAGTTGGGGAAGACATTTGACCCAGCAATACCACTCCTGGAAATACATTCCAGAGAGGCAAAGAAGTAGAGTTGAAGTGACATCTGCACTTGTTTTTTCATTGCAGCACTCTTAACAATAGCCAGAATCTGGAAAAAAACCTGAGTGCCTGAGAACAGGTGACTGGTTAAAGAAACTTTGGTACATCTACACAATGGAGTACTATGTAGCTGTTAGAAAAGATGAAGTCATGAAATTTACATACAAGTGGTACCACATGGAAAGTATCATGTTATGCGAAATGAGTCAGAAAGAGAGGGATAGACGTAGAAAGATTGCATTCATCTGGGGAACATAAAGTAACAAAATAGGAGACTCACACCCAAGAGTGGCTGAGATTAGTACCAGGAATTTTGCTCCATGGCTTGGAGGCCAGCCACACACTCTAGGGGAAAAGGGAGCTCAGATAGAGAAGGGAGCACCAAATAAAGGGTGTTGGGAGGATCCTCCCAGGATGGGAGAAGCATGCTGAAAGTAGACTATAGACCAAACATGATTGCCACTCAATGCCTCTTTTGCAAACCACAACACCCAAAAGGAGAGAGAATAAAAGGGAATGTCCTGCCACAGAGGCAGGGAGGAATGGGGGGGATGGGTGGTTGGAGGGATACTGGGACCCGTGGTGGTGGAAAATGGGCACTGGTGGAGGGATGGGTACTTGATAATTGTATAACTGAGACCCAAGCACAAAAATTTGTAAGTCTACAACTGTACCTCATGGTGTTTCACTAACAAAAATTAAAAAATAAAAAAAAACAGTTGGGGAAGAGAGCATAGAGAAATTAATGATAAACACAGAGGAATTCGAGTGCCTTGGGAACACTATGAATGGTGTAACCCAATAAACCTAAGCTCCTGTGACCAGGGAGAAATGGCAAACCAGTGGTATCCTACAACTATAATATTTTCGATTTTAAGATATGTTTTCAGTATTTTCCTCTGATAGCAATCAACAGAACTATTAAAAACTTGATGTTAAAAAATGTTGATGTTAAAAAAGCCCACTAACTGAGTGTTGAAAGTAGGTAAGAGGATAAACATGATAACCTTTCATATCTGAACTGGAAACCATAATGCCCAAAAAGAAGAGGGGGGGACGGTGGGAGAGATGCACAAGGCAAAAATAACTTTGGGAAGAAATTCCACAGGAATCTAGGTAACGGGCTTTTAGGCCAGGCTACAAGGGCACGTCACTGGCAGATTTAAGAAATATTTATTAGCAGCTGTGTGCAAGGCACGGGGGAATGCGGTAAAAATAAAACATGGTGAAGCTGACCGACTTCGGAGGGTTCAGCATCAACAAAACAGGGAGAGCTGCAGCACGAGCTCATGGTCTGCTGCCCAGGAGACATTACCAGGTGCTGGCTGAGGGAACTGGACAGTCTAGAAGCTCCGGGCACCCCAGTACGTCAGACCCTGTCCCTTCCATGTGGCACCCCACATCTGCCTATCCGTGAGCTGCTTTCCCATCAGTCACCTTCTCGAAGGTACCAGATAATTCAGCTCATCCAGACACTACTGGTAACAAACACCAGAGGAAGAATAGTGGTAAATTAGACCCCAGACATGATTTCCGCATCGGCAAGGGCTCCAGGCGGGCTTCCGTTCAATGAGGAACTAGCGCCAACTTCCACAGATAAGTCATGAGTCACTGAGAGAATATTTTTTCTACCATGGCTTCTCTGATGTTGGATAAGGTACGAAGTTCGGGTGAAGCCCTTCCCACAGGCATCACACTGATAGGGCTTCTCGCCTGTGTGGATTTTCTGGTGTTCCAGAAGGCTACTGTTCTGCCTGAAGCTTCTCCCACAGAAGCTACACTTGTAGGTCACAGGTGCCTCGAAGTTTTCCCACTGGCTTTCCCTCCTCCCCTGGCTCTGCCTGGTCTCTCCAGGTTTAGGATTCTGGGCATTTTTATCCCCATGGATCCTCTGGTGCCTGAGGAGATGGGAATTCCGCCGGAAGGCTTTCCCACACATGGTGCAGCTATATGGCTTTTCCCCTGTGTGGATTCTGTGATGTTCAAGGAGGCTGCAGCTCTGGCTGAAAGTCTTCCCACAGTTCTCACACTCATAGGGTCTCTCGCCAGTGTGAGTTCTCTGGTGTTTGATGAGGTCTGAGCTGTGACCGAAGGCCTTGCCGCACTCTTCACATTCATACGGTTTCTCCCCCGTGTGGACTCGCTGGTGGATGATGAGGGCCGAGCTCCCGATGAAGGCTTTCCCACAGTCCTCGCATTCAAAGGGTTTCTCCCCTGAATGGATCCTCCTGTGCTTGCTTAGGCCTGAGCTCTGAGCAAAACTCTTTCCACACTCGTGACAATAGTACCTCCTACTCCCTGTGGCATTTCTCTGCTTTCTTTGTAACCCACTCTCTAGCTCCCCAGTCTCTAAGCAGGGAGAAATCTGGACAGTGTCGTCGCCCAGGCAGCCTGCTTTCTGCGCATTCTCCATTTCTGGAAGTTCCTCATCCAGGGGCATGTCCCTGATCTCAGTCAGCATTACTTCACCTGTAACACAAATGGTGGACAACTGTCACTCATGTTCTGCCAAAGGAGAGCTCTGCAGTGTCTACCAGGGCAGCAAGAATCAGGTCTCCAGACAACTTGGCTGAGGGCTTGGGTGAATGAAAGAGGCTGGGATTAAAGAGGGATTTCAGGGATACTGGGGAAGAGGACCTGAGAAATGAAGCAGATAAACAGAAGGGCTCAAACTAGGACTGGAGGAAGTGGGGGGAAGTAAGTGAGGACCAAGGACCGTGCTGGGCACTTGGACTAGGGCAGGCGGGCACCTGGGATCCCACACCAAAAGGGGGGCAGAAGGCAACAATGTTCATGGTATGCAGGGTCTGAGAGTGGACTTCTGGAATATTCTGTAAGAAACAGGGAAGGTAGGACTCAGAAGCAGATCCTTCCAGAGACAGGGGTGGTCACTCTTCTCTGGTCTCATCCCCGGGAAGATGGGGTTCCCAAACAGAGCTGGATTCAACATTGGGAGACTGGGGCTGGGGCCCCAGGGCCAGCAACAGGCTGTGGAACTAAGACCATTGGGTAATCCTGTGTCCCTGCACCCTCTCAGGTCAGGCCCTGTTGTCCTCCCCTGGTCCCATTTAGCTCTCACACTCTTTCTAATTCCTGGAGGAGACCCCTCAGCTTCGTTCCTGTCAGGCCTCACGTGGGGAATCTGCATTTACTGAGACTAACCAGGAGCCTGCGTCAACCCGAGGAGCCTCACCAGAAGCAGGACAAAAGGGGCAAAAGCCAGTAAGAGGGTTCAGAAGTGGTTAACCACTGGGCATAGACACGGGATTCCATTAACCTCTCTACAATGACAAATATCCCCTAGCAGGTCAAGGATTGAACCCAGGTCTGCTCTCCAGCGCGGGGCCTCAACTCCAGCCTCTAGGATCGCAACTGAACCTCACATAACAGGCACCAATGGCCTCTAAAGTCCAGGAGGTTCTTAAACACAAAGGAAGCCAAGAACCTTCTGGAAAAGCAGTGGCCTTACCTGGGGAGATGAGACTGCTGTGCTTCTGCCTCTCCACTCGGGCGTTCACCAGAGACGGCTCCTGCTGCCTCCATCCAGGGGAGAGGGTCCGGGCCACGGCTTCCACTTTCAGCCCCTGTAACGACAGTGACCCCACCTAGAGACTCTTGTGCAGGACCAAATTCCAGTGAGGAGTGAACACAGCAACGGAGTCACTCTACAGAGCTCTGCAAATACAGCCCATGTGGCACTCTTGGTCCAACTCCACCCCGTCTTGGTTTTTTTTTTGTTTGTTTGTTTGTTTGGGGGCCACAGCCAGCAGTGCTCAGGGACTACTCCTGGTTATATGCTCAGGAGTGCCCCCTGTTGGTGCTTAGAAGACTTCAGTGCCTGGATTTGAACCGGAATCAGCAGCATGCAAGGCAAGTGCCTTAACCCCTGTACTATCTCTCTGGTCCTCTACCCATCTCTTAGACAACATCTTTCTCAACCAAGCAGCCACAGGCAGAAATAAAGGGCATATCAGGGTAAGTGTTTTCATATAACTATACAGATATCAGTGCAGAAAGAAAATATATGAGGAAAAAAAGGTGAGCATAGTGAAAGGAATGGAACCCACCCAGAACTTTACAAATAATTGCTTCTGGGACATAACAAACTCATGGGCTCATTTATATCAACAGTGATCAAGATGAAACGAAATTTAGGATGAAGGTGGGAAAAATCAGAAAAGAAAATTAACATAAAGAACTGGGTAGAAAACTAAAATTTAGGTATCAGAGAGATAGTATAGAGGATAAGGTGTTTGCCTTGCATGCAGCCAACCCAGGCTTGATAGCTGGAATCTCGCAAGGTCCACAAAGCACTGTCTGGAGTAATTCCTGAGTACAGAGCCAGGAGGAACCCCTGAGCATCACAAACAAGAAGATTAAAATCTTGTCTAAATACAGATTGCTGTGATTAAATAATTAGGTCTGATAAAAGGACAAGCAAGCCGGGTTCCGCAAAGGATTCAGCACCATCGACCATATCCACACGATAACCAAGCTCATTGAGGTTTCTCAGGTGTTCAAGATGCCGCTCTGCTTAACGTTCATTGATTTAAAGAAGGCCTTTGATTCTGTTGAGACGGAAGCGGTCATTGAAGCCCTAGCCAATCAGGGCATTTAAACTCAATACATCAGGATCCTCCATGAGCTGTATTATGGATTCACTACCAGGATCTCACCATTCTACAAAGAAGTGATCATCCATGTCAAGAGAGGGGTTCGGCAGGGTGATATTATTTCACAGAAACTCTTCAGTCCGCCCTCGAAAACGTCATGCGACGACTGGAATGGGAAGGAATGGGAGTGAAGATAGATGGTCAGCAACTACACCAACTCCGCTTTGCTGATGACATCATTCTAATAACACCAAACATTAGCCAAGCAGCACAAATGGTGACCAACTTCGACTGTGAGTGTGGAAAGGTCGGATTACAACTGAATCTCACAAAGACAATGTTCATGAGAAACAGTCTTGTTCCTGATGTTCCATTCACTCTCAACGGAACGACTATCTCTGAATGCAACAGTTATGTGTACCTAGGTCGAGAAGTCAACATGACCAATGACCTGGCACCTGAGTTACGCAGGAAGAAGAGAGTGGCTTGGAACGCCTTCAAGAGCGTCGAAGAAATAACTAAGAGGATGAAGAACTTCCAGCTCCAAGCACATCTCTTTGATTCCACTGTTCTTCCTGCATTAACATACGCCTCAGAGACCTGGGCCCTACAAAAATAGGATGAGAACGCTATTCGGGTCTCTCAAAGAGGAATCGAAAGAGCTATGCTTGGAGTATCACACTTCACTCAAATAAGAGATAGAATCCGGAGTTCCAACCTCCATCAATGCTCAAGAATCAGGGACACTGTCTCACTTGCCAAGGCATCGAAAATCAGTTGGGCTGGACATGTAATGAGATTTAGAGATGACCGCTGGACTAGAGCCATTATAGACTGGATTCCACTGTCGTCAAAAGATCATATGGATGCCCACCTACGAGATGGCCAGACTTCTTCGTCAAGACCCCGAATGATCAGTTTGAGGCTCTTCATGTTCGTAGAATGAGCAGATGCCATTGGGCTATGCTAACACGCAACAGGGATGAATGGAGATGTTACTGGCGCCCGCTTGAGCAAATCGATGAGTAACAGATATCAAGTGATCAAGTGAAAAGGACATGTTTTATGGGTCCCTTCAAGTTCCTAAGGGGAAGAGACCATGTCTTTATTCCCCTACTAAGAGGAGATTCAGTGAAACTTGGAAAATGCAAGTAGGGCCAGAGAAATAGTATGAAAGGGGTTAGAGCTCTTGCCTTGCATGACGCTGACTCCAGTTCAATCCTGGCACCTCACAGGATCCACCAGCACTGCCAGGATAACCCCTGAACACTGTCATTTGTGGCCCAAATCACAACCCCCCCCTACTTCACAAAATGAAATGAAACCAAAGCTTCAGTCGGTATTTGTTGGCGCACCCTTCTTTCAGATGACAACTGTAAGAAGGAGCTGACCCAGAGACGGGGCAGGGACAACGAGGGGCGCACAGACAGTACGTAGGCTAGTAAGCGAACTGGGAGAGGCTCTGAAGAGCAAATAATCTGGGCGAGAATGAGACATTTCCAATCCCAGCGGGAGGGATGTACCATGATAGTAAAGGGGCTGGCTGCAGAGACCCTGGGTTCAACCCAGCATCTCTGTCTCTGCCTCTCTCTCCCTCTCTATGTTGGGGAGGAGTCTCTAGCTCACCTGGAATTCCGGGGCGACCCCCACTCCTCCTCTACTGCCCTCCCGCATTTTTTCCGCCGGGCAAAGGCCCTAAAGAGATCTTTCTGACATCCAGCCTCTGTCTCTTGTCCAAAGTGCACTCATGAACTCCAGTGAGAACTGGATATAGAGAACATTTGTCTCAAACACTTTGGACCCTCGCCAGCTCCAAACTCTGCTTGCAGACACAAAACCACACGAGAGGCAGGATCCTGGGTGATACGGGGTCCTGAAGGCCACGGGACGCAAGCTTTTCATCCGATGACTCTGAATCTTGTCAGGGAAAGCATAGGGCTGGGGAATCGGATTGGGTTTAAATGGCTTAAGTGGCTGTTCAAGGGCTTTATGCTTCAGTTTTGAAAAACAAAAAAAACAGATGGCAGAGGATGTGGGAACAGGAGAGCACAGGTCTTGCGTGTGGAAGGCCCTGGGTAAATTCCGAGCCCTCCTGGCCCCCATGACAGGGTAGCTAGCAAAACTGAAAGGAAAAAGTTAGCTAATAGATGAAGCCAGGCTTGGAAAGGCATAGATTCTGGTTATGGAAAACCTGCTTTTACTCAAGAGAGAGGAAAAAGAAATGAAAAATTTCATGTTTCTCACAAAGAAGCAGGCTTGATTTTTATTCTACCACTCCAGCTCCCACTATTCATTTTATTATTTTATTATTCATTATCATTTTATTATTCATTTATTTCTTTTTAGTGTTTGGGCCACACCTGATGGTGTTCAAGGCCTAATTTTTGGTTTTTTTTTTCTTTTTGGGTCACACCCGGCGATGCACAGGGGTTACTCCTGGCTCTGCGCTCAGGAATTACCCCTGGCAGTGCTCAGGAGACCATATGGGATGCTGGGAATCGAACTCAGGTTGGTCGCGTGCAAGGCAAACGCCCTACCCGCTGTGCTACTGCTCCAGCCCCAAAGGCCTAAGTTTTGGCTCTGACCTCAGGGATAACTCCTGCTGGTGCTCAGGACCATCTGGTATGTTGGGATTGAACCCAGGCCAGCCACATGCAAAGCAAGCGCCCTGACCGCTATGATATGTCTCTGCCTCCCCCAGCCCCCATGATTTTAGTAACAGATGTAAGGTTCAAAGATGAATGCTCTTTACTGTGCACTCGGGCAGAGTGTGACTTTTTAGAGGCTACCCTGCACCTTCTCAGCACTTCCTGCAGTCTGAAACCGTGTGATTAATGTGCTGATCTGCCTCTCCCCAGAAGAAGGTTAAGCTCCATGTGGCAATGACTCCCTCAAACCCAAATTTTAGTAAACGTTTGATTTATTATGTTCAGGCTTGGCAGAGCTTTCCCCAGTGGCCTGAAACTTGCCCTGAAGAAAGTCTGAGAGCCGTAGGCGGATTGCTCGCCTTGCATCCCACCGACTGGCTCAAACCCCCAGCACCACAGAGCAGCCCCCGACCACGCACCGTGAGTCCCTCCGAGCACTGCAGATGAGGTGGAACATGCAGATGTTTCCACATCACATTACAACCAGGAAGGCATCGTTCAAGCTACTCATCACCGCCTGCAAACTATAACCGGTTCCTGGGTCTGGACCATCATTGAAGCAGCCCGTTTCACAAACTGGCTGCGCGCTCTGTTAACTCTTTCAGTAACTCTTTCAGACCCTTGAGCATTTGCTTCCTGCGAGTCAAAAGACGCTTTATGATGAGGAGGGCCCAGGGACCTCGCCTCACCGCCCAGGACGTCCTGGGGACAGCAAGAGCCCGCGGGCGAGCGCGCCCGCCCCGAGCCTCCCCCGAGCCTCCCCCGGCCCTGGGCACCTGCGGCCTCCGCGCGTCCAGCGGCCGCTCCCAGGCCTCCAGCAGCCGCACCGCGTCCTCGCCGCTGGCCGGCTGCCGCGCGCGCACCCGGGCCTGCAGCTGGGCGGGCAGGATGCTGAGGAACTGCTCCAGCACCAGCAGCTCCAGCATCTGCTCCTTGCTGTGCACGTCGGGCCGCAGCCAGCGCCGGCAGAGCTCGCGGAGCCGCCCCAGCGCCTGGCGGGGGCCCCGGGCGTCGGGGTAGCGGAAGGCTCGGAAGCGCCGGCGGGAGTGCTCGGGGCCGGGCACGGGGCTGCAGCCGGGCGCCGCGGCCGCCTCCTCCAGGCCCGCGCTCCCCTCCGGCTCCCCCTTGACGCGCAGGATGCCCGTCGGATCGTCCGCGGATCGCGCGCCCAGCGCGGGGCCCTCCTGGGACTCTCTCGCCATCCTGGGCCCAGGCCGTCCAGGGCTGTGCTAGAGCTGGCGACTGTTTCTGTAGGAGCACCTGAAAATGGAAAATGTTCTTAGGAAGTGCAGTTGTGAGCGTGTACGATAACCCCTCTGATGCCCAGACACACATACACACAGACAGACACAGACACAGACACAGACACAGACACACACACACACACACACACACACACACAGACACACGCCTGCAGATCTCCAGGGCTGACCTGTAGTGGGAACCTCAGCCACTCACACTACAGAAACACACACACACAGACACACACAGACACAGACACACACACACACACACACACACACACACACCTGCAGATCTCCAGGGCTGACCTGTAGTGGGAACCTCAGCTACTCAGACTACAGAACCCCAGTCTTGGACTGGACACACTCTAAAATGACCCCAGATTCCTGCCCTGACCTAGACCTTTGAACACGAGGTAGTTGAGTTTGACTTCCATGAGGATTTAAGTGGATTCTTCCCCAGGGTCAAGAGGGGCTCGGCCCCACCAGCCCAGAGGGTCCTTAAATTGTCCCACTTTTGGTGAAGGGTCCTGTAGTGACAGGAGACCAATATCAAGTCCTCAGCTGCCCCAGAGTGACAGGAGGAGGAGAGGTGACAGGCTGGGGCTCCTTCGTCCCAGCCCCGAGCACTGTCCCCCTCTGATAAGCTGTAGACCCTCAAGCCTCAGTTGCCTGGGTTTGCATCAACTAGGTGACTTGCTGAATCGCTCGCTTACCTCTGTGCCTCAATTCCCCATATATCACAGGCTATGTCTAGGGATGTGCTGAGCCTAAGTAAGCATGCTTATCCCAAAAGGAGAAAGAGGAAAAAAAAAGGGAATGCCCTGCCACAGAGGCAGGGTGGGATGGGGGGGGGGGATAGGGGTGGGAGGGATACTGGGATCAGTGGTGGTGGAGAATGGGCACTGGTGGGGGGATGGGTACTCAATCATTGTGTAACTGAAACCCAAGCCCAAAAATTTGTAAGTCTACAACTGTACCTCATGGTGTTTCACTAATAAAAATTTAAAAAGAGGAAAACCATATCTCATAGGCCATTAAAAGAAGTTTGCAAAAAAAAAAGTAAGCATGCTTATAAAGTCTTTTCTGAAGTGCTTGGCTCCTGGGAATTACTATAATATTATGAAAATACACTTATATACTACATGGAGTTACTCACTAGCCTTTCTCCTTTTTTCTTTTTGGGTCACACATGGCTGCGCTTAGGGCATCCTCCTGGCTGTGCTCAGAGATCACTCCAGGTGGGCTCCACGGACCATAAGGGATTCTGGGGATCAAGCCCGGGTGTGCAAGGCAGGCACGGTAGAAATTGTACTATCTCCCCGGCTTGCTTGTTTTTGTCCTCCCTATGTCCTGCCATGTAAGCCTCAGTGAAAGGACAAATGCACGAAGTTGTGAGAGAATAGCTCTTCCTCTAAAATCAGGCTTCTCTCAGCCCTGATGACTTCTGGGGTGCGACCAGCTCCATGTCAGGGGGCACTGGTCCACTACTTGTCCATTACTGAGTAATTCAAAGCCTTTGGTACTGGCCAGGCAGAGAACAAAGGTTATGGCTGCTATTTTCAAGGCTTGTCAGTGGGTGTGACACAAGAATCCCCAGTGTGCAAATACCATGAGGCATGTGTCGTACACCCGGGCACCAGTGAGGACCCCTACTCGGGACCCCTGGACCCACCAGGTCGGGCAACAAACCCCCACAGTCTCTCCCAGGGATTTCCCACCTCCGACAGGGAGGGACTTGTACCCACTCACAGACAGACACGGGGACAAAAAGAACCGCCGGGCAGGGGGAGGAGAGCCACCAAAGGGGACCTAAGCCACACTGGGATCCGAGAAACAAGCCTGAGCCCCCGCTCACCCCGTACTCACAGTCTCCGAAACTAGCAAATCACCCAAGGCCGGGCGCGGGGCCACTTCCGGTCGCTCTAGCCACCGCCCGGACACTCTATGGTTCAGTGTCAGCCCCCCCCCAGCCCCGGCCACGCCCACCCCGCCTGTATAGGACGTCCAAGATGACGTTTGTAGGGGTCGTTCACGGGGAAAGGGGGGCACGGGTCTTGGTCTGCAGTTTGCTACACCTGCTAGCAGACAGAGGAAAGGAATCTTAATGATATTTTCTAGTAAAGTCATAAAGAAACCCTTATGTAAGTGTGAGATTAATTAGTGGGAACCAGAGCAGGGGAAGTGTCAGAGAGTAACATGAAGAGTAACATGAAGAGTATTCCTGTGCGCATCTTAGTATATTTTGATTTAAACTTTAGAGCTGATTGTATTACCTAATTAGAACAATTATGAATACATGATTATATTAAGGAGAAAGCTGAACTGTTTCAGCTTTCTAAAATAATGATTAGTGAGTTGAGTCAAGTTGTAGAGTTCAAATAAATTTTTATTCACAGTTGCATTTCTCATGATTAATACAGGTGAGAAAATGTAGTTTTTCAAAAACAGCAATTACAGAAGCAGAGAAATTCAAAGGATATTTGAATAGAAACATACTAAGCATTTTGAAAAATTAAGACTCGATTACAGAGACACGTCACACCTATGTGTAGAAACCCAAATCTTAAATGTTATTACTTCCTATGTTAATATACAAATTGGGTGAAAAACCTATTAATATCCAAAAACTGTGTTCCACAGAACTTAACTAGTTGATTCTAAATTTATATGAAATAAATTTATATGGAATAATTTGGACAAACTTGCAGGCTATCGAATGTAGCCTGCCCACAGGGCAGAGTCTGGCAAACTCCCCGTGGCGTACCAAATATGCCAAATACCAGTAACAATGATGGGTCTCATTCTCCTAAAGAGCCTTGAATATAATCTCAGGGCTAGGATGAAAGAGACGTTACTTGCCTCGACGAATAACAGGATGATGGATGAATGAATGAATGAATGAATGGAATAATAAAAGTGAAGTAGATCCAAGTAATATTTTGAACAATATTTGAGCCTTATAGCAGGGTTATTATAAGAACATTTAAGACATCATATTATTGGCACAACTGCAGACAAATAGGTTGATGGAGCAGAATATTTGAGGACATAACTGTGTATATATGAATCTTTGATATCAGACAAATGTAGCGTTAGGAAGAAGGAGCTGCTTGACAAATAATCACTGTGGTGACTGGATTTCCAAATGGAAAAATAAACAACAACAAACAAACACTGTCCTCTCTTTGTTCATCGATTTGCTCGAGCGGATCCAGTAACATCTCCATTTTGAGACTTGTTGTTACTGTGTTTGGCATATTGAATACATCATGGGTAGCTTGCCAGGCTTTGCCTTGCAAGCGAGATACTCTCGGCAGCTTGCCGGGCTGTCCGAGAGGGGCAGAAGAAGTGAACCCGGCTCGGCCGGGCTGGCTGCGTGCAAGACAAATGCTCTACCGCTGTCTTATTGCTCCAGCCAGGAAAAATAAAATGAAATTAAAAAAATTTTTACCTTTATTAACAGTATATAAAAAGATACCATATCTAGTGGGAAAACAGGAAAAGGAGCAGAAGATATTTGCAACTAACTAAACATATAATAAACATGTATTTTAAAACAGAAAAAATATTCCTGCAAATAAAAAAGTGACAAAGAATAGAGAAGTTATATAGAAGTACTCTTAAATAACCTATAAATATAATCATTAATACTTACCTATGATCAAAGAAACGCCGATCTTATACACTTATAATTTTTAAGCTGAGATAGCAGCTTACAATTGGATCGAGACCATTGTCTTATTCTTGTCCTACATCTACCCCATCCCTTCTCCAGTGCGCCGCTAACCCATCACCATCTTGCCAGGGATTTGCCTCCCAGCCTCTAGCTTTCTCACTTCATAGTTCTAGTATGTCTCAAATTTGTTTTCACTGGGAATTGTCTGATCCCTTTCTTGATACTTCGTATGAACAAAACCATCAGGCCCTTGTCATTTACTTTCTCACTCACTTCCCTTATTAGGGTACCCTCCAAAGGCAGGCAATTTGCAAAAAATAAAAAGCCAACTTTCATCTTTTCTCATAGCTGAGTAGTACACATTGTTTTTATAAACTACAGTTTCTTTATCCAGTCACCCATCGTTGGACATTTGGGTTACTTCCAGTTCTTGGCACTAGTAAGTAATACTGTGTTTCGCATAGATGTGAAAATTTCCTTTTGTTTTTGGAATAGATGCCCTGGAGTGGAATTTCTGAGTCATATGAAGTTCTATTCATCATCTTTTAAGAACTCAGGGGCTGGAGCGATAGCACAGTGGGTGAGGCATTTGCCTTGCACGCGGCTGACCCGGGTTTGATTCCCAGCATCCCATATGGTCCCCTGAGCACCGCCAGGAGTAACTCCTGAGTGCATGAGCCAGGAGTAACCTCTGTGCATTGCCAGGTGTGACCCAAAAAGCAAAAAAAAAAAGTCAGCAAACAGGTTTCCAAAGAAGCTGAATGATGCAAAAGTCCCACTAACAATAAATAAGAGGTAAATCAAACAAGCAAACAATTTAGAGATTTCATACCCACGCCTCAGCAATAACATGTGCAAAACTCAACTCACACACAGATGTGAGCATAACTTATTCTGCTCATCTTGAAAGAAGAGCTGAAGATATTATACACATAGGTACAGCAAAATCATCCCCTCACGATATGATCCCAGAGTGAGGACTCAATATTCTTTTCTGTAGCTAGAAATTTGAGCTATTCAATAGAACCAATTCACCAATGATGTAAGTCAATGCTCTAGGGCTTAAGGATACCCTTCCTCTCTATCACATCTGTCACATTCATGATTCTTTTGTGCTAATTTTGGGGTGGTCAACTGTTATTGGTAGATGATTGCTAGTTGGGTTTGTGCATTGCCTCTTCCGTGATAAATATTTTGCGATGGTCTTAAAATATGTACCGCAAAGATTTTCTGGTTCTGTGCTTTGGGTAGCACTTTTTTAGGAGGGGCAGTGATGCAGGTGAGGCAGAAGCGGCAGTGGCGGGGGGGGGGGGTCTCTGTTCGTTCGCAACTCCCCGGTTCTTTAATATTTTCAGAATGAAAATACTGAATAATAAAGATGCTCAGACTCAGAGTTGGAAAGTAGAAAAGTTTATTGGGGCTTCTACCTAGGTATGATATGCACTTATAGGATGGGGACAATCATATCTCTGTCATAGAGTTGTTTAAGTATTCCATATGTTAATGTAAAACAGTGTCTTTTGTCACACTCATTCAAGAGTTTCTGTGTCCATATATCCTTTCTGGGCACCTCTCCTGGGTGATCTGACATTTCAGCAGTGCTGGTGACCACTCACTTGGCAGACACTATCCCAATCCAGCTCTTCCTTATATATTTTTTATTTTTACAATGTGTGTTTTCTTAGGATCTTCCAATTCTGTGTCTGTCAAAGGAAGATATGACACTGTTTGATACATTTCCATTCCAGGTGGTGAAAGTGAAAACCTAGAGTTGGCATCAAAACAAGAAGTTTTGAAAGAAATGGAGCATTTTGGAAATAACAGACTCCAAAGAGATGTTCTAGATTCTCAGTCCAGAAACTTATAAATGGGAGAATAGAATAGAAAAGCTAAGAAGATACGGTCCTGAGAGCGACGTCACTGGTGCAATGGATGTGGGAAAAGCTTTCCTCAGAGTTCACTAGTCAGTCTGCAGCAAAGACTCCACAGGAGAGGAGCCATTTGAATGTGAGAAACGTGGGAAGACCTTCAGCCAGAGATTGGGCCTGACTGAACATCAGCGGAGCCACACTGGAGAGAAACCCTCTGACTGTAAGCAGTGTGGGAAAGCCTTCAGTGCCAGCAGTGCCCTCTTTAGATACAGAAGAATCCACACTGCAGAGAAGCTCTACAAATTTGAAGAGTGTGGGGAAGCCTTCCCCCTGAGCTCGTACCTTACTCAGCACCAGAGGACACACACCGGAGAGAAGGCTATCTCTGTCACAAGTGTGGGAAAGCCTTCAGTCAGAATTCAGGTATCTTCCAGAATCTTTGCATCCACACTGGGAGTGCTATGAAGTGTGGTCAGTTCAGTAAAAGTTTCAGTAGGCAAATGCTCCTCATCAAGCATCAGAGAGGGCACCCTGGAGAGAGACCGTATTTGTGTGACCAGTGTGGGAAAACCTTCAGTCACCATTCCAACCTCATTAGGAATTTTCAAACCCATACTGTGGCCATACTGGACTAATTTCATGGATACTCGCTGCCAAGAGCCCTAAATGCGACCATCTTGGAAAACAAGATTTCCAAATAGCTTATTTTGTTCTTACTAAATTTCTTTAGCTTTGGAATGAGTTAGCTTGTCTGTACACCAGATTCTGGTCCCCCAGGAGAGCTGTCTGGGATAGGCAGTTGCTCAGCTGCCTCTGCCTATTTTCCTTGGTTCATTTTCTAATGATTTCCTTTGAAAGGCCCAAATCTTAACAGGAAATAAATAGGTATGGAGGGGCTATTCTTGAGTAATACCAAATACTGAACAGTTCTACCAGGCTAATATCTGAGTAAAAGGTAAAGGTAAAGGTCCTCCCGTTGTTCATCGATTTGCTCGAGTGGGCCCAGTAACGTCTCCATTGGAGATTTTGTTGTTACTGTGTTTGGCATATCGAGTAAATCATGGGTGGCTTGCCAGGCTCTGCTGTGCGGGCGAGATACTCTCAGTAGCTTGCCGGGCTCTCTGAGAGGGGCGGAGGAATCGAACTCGGGTCGGCCATGTTGGCTGCGTGCAAGGCAAACGCCCTACCGCTGTGCTATCGCTCCAGCCTTATCTGAGTAGGTTTTTCTTTTTTTTCCAAGTTTGGGTAAAGTAAAGTAAAGTAAAGGCCCTCCCGTTGATCATCGATTTGCTCGAGCGGGCCCAGTAACGTCTCCATTGGAGACTTTGTTGTTACTGGTTTGGGTAAATTCAATAGAAATATTGGAGTGAGGGATTTTG